CACAGACAGACAGACAGACAGTCAAACACACACACAGACAGACAGTCAGACACACACACAGACACAGTCAAAGACACACACACAGACAGACAGTCAAAGACACACACAAACAGACAGTCAAAGACACAGACAGACAGTCAAAGACACTGACACACACATAGACAGTCAAAGACACTGACACACACATAGACAGTCAAAGACACTGACACACACATAGACAGTCAAAGACACTGACACACACATAGACAGTCAAAGACACTGACACACACATAGACAGTCAAAGACACTGACACACACATAGACAGTCAAAGACACTGACACACACATAGACAGTCAAAGACACTGACACACACATAGACAGTCAAAGACACTGACACACACATAGACAGTCAAAGACACTGACACACACATAGACAGTCAAAGACACTGACACACACATAGACAGTCAAAGACACTGACACACACATAGACAGTCAAAGACACTGACACACACATAGACAGTCAAAGACACTGACACACACATAGACAGTCAAAGACACTGACACACACATAGACAGTCAAAGACACTGACACACACATAGACAGTCAAAGACACTGACACACACATAGACAGTCAAAGACACTGACACACACATAGACAGTCAAAGACACTGACACACACATAGACAGTCAAAGACACTGACACACACATAGACAGTCAAAGACACTGACACACACATAGACAGTCAAAGACACTGACACACACATAGACAGTCAAAGACACTGACACACACATAGACAGTCAAAGACACTGACACACACATAGACAGTCAAAGACACTGACACACACATAGACAGTCAAAGACACTGACACACACATAGACAGTCAAAGACACTGACACACACATAGACAGTCAAAGACACTGACACACACATAGACAGTCAAAGACACTGACACACACATAGACAGTCAAAGACACTGACACACACATAGACAGTCAAAGACACTGACACACACATAGACAGTCAAAGACACTGACACACACATAGACAGTCAAAGACACTGACACACACATAGACAGTCAAAGACACTGACACACACATAGACAGTCAAAGACACTGACACACACATAGACAGTCAAAGACACTGACACACACATAGACAGTCAAAGACACTGACACACACATAGACAGTCAAAGACACTGACACACACATAGACAGTCAAAGACACTGACACACACATAGACAGTCAAAGACACTGACACACACATAGACAGTCAAAGACACTGACACACACATAGACAGTCAAAGACACTGACACACACATAGACAGTCAAAGACACTGACACACACATAGACAGTCAAAGACACTGACACACACATAGACAGTCAAAGACACTGACACACACATAGACAGTCAAAGACACTGACACACACATAGACAGTCAAAGACACTGACACACACATAGACAGTCAAAGACACTGACACACACATAGACAGTCAAAGACACTGACACACACATAGACAGTCAAAGACACTGACACACACATAGACAGTCAAAGACACTGACACACACATAGACAGTCAAAGACACTGACACACACATAGACAGTCAAAGACACTGACACACACATAGACAGTCAAAGACACTGACACACACATAGACAGTCAAAGACACTGACACACACATAGACAGTCAAAGACACTGACACACACATAGACAGTCAAAGACACTGACACACACATAGACAGTCAAAGACACTGACACACACATAGACAGTCAAAGACACTGACACACACATAGACAGTCAAAGACACTGACACACACATAGACAGTCAAAGACACTGACACACACATAGACAGTCAAAGACACTGACACACACACACAGACAGACCGTCAAAGACACACACACACACACACACACACACACACACACATAGACAGTCAAAGACACTGACACACACATAGACAGTCAAAGACACTGACACACACACACAGACAGACAGTCAAAGACACACACAGACAGACAGTCAAAGACACACACAGACAGACAGTCAAAGACACACACAGACAGACA